GAGGGCGTGTTCTGGAAGATGAGCTTTTTGGGGGCTCTTTGTATCTGTAGGGGTAATTCCTCTGCCCTCTGGCATGGCTCTGGGGGAAGGTCCCTTTGGGGTGACTCTAAGGGGGCACTTCTCTGTGTCCCCGCTGTGTCTCTGGGTGAAGAAGTTGGGCGTCACTCACGAATTCTTCTCCCAGTCTCCTTTCCCGACTTTTCTCACTCTGTGCTTCTCTCCGTGCCAGGAAGTCAGATGAGGAGCCCACACAGAAGGACCTGGCATTCGACACGGATAGGGGCCTCAATGGGGAAGGACCGGTCAGGTGAGTGTGGCGCCAGCGCCACGTGAGGTGGGCATCGCGGGCAGCTGCAGGGACACCAGGTATGGGGAGGGGAGGAGTTGGGGCTTCAGGGGGTGGTGGCTTCTGCGGCCACTGAAGATACTGAGGAAGTGTCCCAAATGCCAGGCTCAAGGCTTGGTGCAAGGTTTGGTTCTGCCACCAAGGAGTTCCTCACTGGAAATCAGTTTGCTTCATGTTACACATCCTTCCTTCTCCATATAGCAAGTGGAACTGGGTGGATTCGGTTCATTTAGGGATCCCTGTCCTTTTTGTTTTCCGACTCTAAGGTCTTTTCTCTTAACGTCTATGCCGTGGTACCCATGGAAGGTATGTTTAAACTTAGGCCTGAGCAAATGAAATAGAAAACTTATCAGTCTTCAGCAGTGTGCAGGTGCTGGGTTCAAATCCTGAATTTGACTTTGGAAGTGACCTCACCCTTGAACCCCAGCTTTCTTTTCTGCAAAGAGAAAGTACAGAGCACGTCGTCCCTGTGTTAGTCAGGTTAGGTTGGGTGAGGCTGCAGTAACGAAACAGCCCGAAGACGAAGGTTCAGGTCTAACTCACCCTCCATTTGTGGGCTGGCCGTGCCTCCGCTCCGTGTGGTCTCCACTCCGAGGTGAGCTGAGCTTTTGCTGGTCTCACGGCAGAGAGAAAAGAGACATGGCGAACCAGGTCCTGGCTCTTAAAGCCCCTGCGTGGAAGTGACAGGTGTCACTTTTGCCTACATTTCATTGGCAAAAGCAAGTCATAGGGTGACTCCTTAGCTCCTAATTCTCCCACCAGGAGGGAACCAAAGTGTTTGATGAACACTTCGTGTGATATATCACAATGCCTAATGGAGCAATTGAGACAATTCATGGAAATAATGTATATAAAATGCACATCATAGTGCCTGGCACATAGTATGTCCTCAACTAATGAGGCTTATTATTACTACTGCTATTATGAATACATTGATGACTTATTTTGTTGAATGGAGGGCGTGTGTCTGCGTGTGTGTGTAAGGGCCAAAATCTACAGTTACAGAGAAACAGGGAGAGGCCCACATTTATATCTGCAGCCCTCATCTCTACCATAGTCACATAAACGAGGAAAGGGAGGGGCCTCGTCCCCCAATATCCCAGAAGTAAAAATGTTTCCGGGAACTGTTAGGAATATGATCGGCTGTCCAGAAGTCTGCAAATCCCACTACATTCTTTGCAAAACAAGTCGAATTTAAATATATATGTACATATTTTTTTCTGAGACAATGCACAAAGAATACGAAACATTTGTCAAGATAGAAAACTAAGAAGAAAATCTGGACCGCCGAAAAAGGTTGGATAGTAGGCCCCATGTCAGGATCAATAACGATGTCCTTGCATAGGGATTTCCCAAATTCTGCACCATTTGATGACAATGACAAAAGCCGATGTCACAGAACACTAACGGTGGGCAGCCGTGGTGCTAAGTCCTTTGGAAAATCAGCTCGTTTAATTCTCTCAACAACCCTGCACGGCAGGGTCTATTATTACCCACATTTTACCGATGAAGTAACTGGGGCCTTAAGAGACTTACCTTAGAGCACGTGACTGGGAAGCGGTAGAGCCGGGATTTGAACCCAGATCTTCTTGTGCCGGAATCTGTGCTCTGAGCCACTGTGCAGAGCCACTGCCATGGAGAGCTCTGGAAAAGGACAATCCCCTGGCTCCTTTCCCAGGGAGCCCAGGAATCTGAGTGTGGCCTGGCTGTGGGTGATTCGAGATGGCGGTGGGTGGGAAGCATGGTGGCCCCACCACACGTTCTTGGCAGACAGTAAAATGAGAAATGGCAGAGCCTTTTTCCTCGTCAGCAGGGAGCTCGTTCTCTTCTCTGCCTCTCGCTTTCTTTCTGCCTGTTTTCTGGAGAGCAGCCCGACTGAGATAGGCTTCACACACCATTCGCCCATGTAAAGTATACAGTTCAGCGTTTTTGAGTCTAGTCACAGGGTTGTGTGGTCCTCACCATTAATCTTAAACCACGTTCATCACTGCAACAAGAAATTTTGTACCCGTTAGCAGTCACTCCCCATTTCTCTCTCTTCAGAGCTCCCCAGCAACCACTAATGTACTTTCTATGGATTTGCCTGTTCTGGGCATTTCGTACAAGCGGAGACATACGCTGTGCGATCTTTTATGACTGGCTTTGTTTGCCTAACATCATGCTTTCGAGATTTATTCACTTTGTAGCGTGTATCAGAGCTTCATTCATTCCCTTTTATTGCCGAATAATATCACATTGTCTGGAGAGACCGCATTTGATTTATTCATTCAAGTGGTTGTTTCCACTTCGGGGTTATTTTCTGTTAGATTTATAAAGAGGGGACGCCTCTCCGAACCAGTCTGTCAGCTCTTCGAATAGATTATGAGTAGTATTATTCATTTTGGTGTTTCCGATTTGAAGTCAGGATTAAGAGTCAGGATGAAATTGAGAAAGATGATCTGAACTCAGGCGAGAAGGGTCAGAGATATGAGTGAGCGAAGGTCTGAATTCAGAAGCCAAATATGGCAGTATGGTCAGATATCAGATGTAGGGAAGGGAGAATCGAACGAGAAAACTGGGCTGGATAATCTGATCTTCAAATCTGTGAGTCAGAGGCTACTATTCAAGCACCGAGTCAGGGGCGGGCATGAAAGTGAGGGGGTCAGAGGTCGTATTTGAAGGTCAGAGGTCAGGTGGATGGATGATCCAGTGTCAGACACAGAGAATCAGAGGTCGTGAAGGTGAAAGCAAAGGGACTTGGTGTGGGAAGCCAGGCAGGGTCCCAGAGGCCAGCCCAGGGGTGGGAGGTCAGAGGCGGAAGGTGGGCAGTCTCGATGGCAGGTGTCAGATTAGAGGTCAGGCTCAGGGGTCGGGTCGAGCCCTCCTCCTTGTCCCCTGTTCCCCCCAGGCTGGCAGAACCCCCCGAGAAGGCGCTCCCGGGGGCGAGGGCCCGGCCCAGCTGCGCGCGCCGCTGGCCGCAGTTCTGGGGCGCGCCGGTGACGGCCTTCGTGGGCAACGTGGTGAGCTACCTGCTCTTCCTGCTGCTGTTCGCGCGCGTGCTGCTCGTGGACTTCCAGCCGTCGCCGCCCCGCGCGCCCGAGCTGCTGCTCTAC